CCAACCCCCCCATCCCCAATAGTTTCTCAGCGGATTTGGGCTACTCGCGGCTGTACTCGGCAAGCGCAGTACAGCCCCCAACTCAGATTTGAAAAACAATCAGTGGATGGTTGGTTTCTGACTGGTCAGCCGACTGCTGACCGATCGGTCCTACTGGTCGGCTGCAATACGGTCGGCGGTCGGGGTCGGCGGTCGGCAGGTATGCCACCCCGGTCAGAGGGTAATAAGAAAAATATTCGTTTTTTTGGCGGGGTGGGTGGAGCTGGGGCCCAGTGGGGGGAATCGTTTTTCAGTTTATGCTTGTCGTCCTTGCGCAGAGGCCATACAAATGTGGTACCCCTTTAGGCTGGTTAAACCCCCTAAAAGGGTAACATTTGTATGGCCTCTGGGCAAGGACGACAAGCATAAACTGATCAGCAAATGTTAAACCCCGTTTAAAGCCTCTGCGGTCAGAGGGCAACATTTGCGTCCTTGCGCAGAGGCTTTAAAGGGGGTTTAACCAGCCTATAGCAGGTTTGTTTTTCCATTAACTCCTCCATTTTGATCAGCATCGCCCCTCAAAGCCTCATTAAACCCCCTTTAGAGTTTAGACCACCTCCTCCAGAATGCTCACCCCTCCCCCCACCGTCATCCCACCCACCCGCGTACCAGCATAAGGACAGGTTTTTGGATAAAGAGATCAGATTTGTTCTCTGGTTGCTATCAGCATTGAGCTGCAAGATTCCCATCAGCCTGAACAGATTTCTCCAAACGGCTTTCCTTACTACCGTCTTCACCTGAATAGAACACCCGGTCATTGTAGCCGTATTTGGGCCAGCTTTCAGTCCACATGCAGCGAGATATGACTGGCCAGTGGCCATTCTATTCGGGTGAAGATGGTAATGCAGATCGCTCTGGAGGGGTATCTGTGAGGTAATCTGGGCTTGTTGGCAAGCCCAGCGGACTAATCCAGGGTTAGTATCTGGTTAATCTTTTTTCTTGTGCTTACTTAGGAGGGAGGGAGGGAGGGAGGGAGGGAGGGTGGGTGGGTGGGAGTCAGGTTTTGCGGATGGGAGCCTGGTTTTGCGGATGAGCAGTATTTACTATTTACACTGGTCAATCGTTCTCTGAGTTGTGTGGCTTTTTTTTTCGCATCTCCACTCCACTCTATCTATGGTGGAGATGAGCAACTACAGAATGTATCTCCACGCAGTAAGTGGATGTGTGTTTTGTAGTTGACTTTGTGAACGAGATCTGACTTTTCGCATCTCCACTGAATTGGTCGATCAGATCTCGTTCACAAAATGATGTTGGCTTATCTTTGCCGCCTTTCCTAGACTGTCCCTTTTCTTTTTCCCGTTTCCAAAGGGCGATGATGGCCTTGAGATATCATCATCGACTTGACGGCCTGAGTGAATTCAGGTAGGGGTCGGTGTATTTCACTCATCTGCTTCCTAAACTGGTGTTCGAACTCTGCACCTGGTCTGTATTTCAACAGTTGAGTTCAGGGGGGGTGTACCCACTGAGATAGGCCAGTTGGCAGTTTCTGTGCCATTTTGCATTGCCCTTGAAAGGTATGTGTGGGCTTTCTGGGATTCATGCCCACATACTACCGACGAACGAGGTCCAGATCCTTCACCATCCAACAAACAGTTGAGGGCTGTACCAACTGAGCTAGGCCAGTTCTGTCACCACCCGATGAACGAACGTGGTCCAGTTCCTTCACCATCCAACGAATGTGGTCCAGTTCCGTCGCCACCCGATAAATGTGGTCCAGTTCGCTTTCACACTTGTTGTCTTGTGTGGACCACACAAGATGAACGGCATGCCGGGTTTCAATTTGGGGCATGCTTAGACAGGGAACGGGGTGTGGTAAGCAGTAGAGTGGCATTGTTGTCACAATCTGTTGAGACTCGGCCCTTTCTTCCTCTTTTTTTTTTTTTTTTTTTTTTTTTTTTTTTTTTTTTTTTTTTTTTTTTTTTTTTTTTTTTTTTTTTTTTTTTTTTCTGCGCGCACGTGCAGGGGCGATGCTAATCTTCTCTCTTTCGTTCCTCTTTTAACGGATGTCCCGAAGGACATCTTCCAAAGGTTTCTAAAAAAAATAAAAAAATAAAAAATGCTGTGTTCCGTGGACTGTGTCGCAACTCCCCTTTCTCTGTTCCAGCTCCTCCAAATTGTCTCCCATGGCTTTGTCGATATGTTCCCGCTCTCTTACGACCATCTTCCCCCGAATAGAACGTACCCGTCTTCACCGGAATAGAACATACCGTTTTCACCCGAATAGAACGTACCCGTCTTCGCCCGAATAGAACGTAGTACCGTCTTCACCCGAATTGTTTTCTTGAAAACTACCCGTGCGAGAGCTAGGGGCACTGTTATGAACAGGTGGCCCTGTCTCGCCCGGGAAGGCTCCATCTATTGGTGGGCCGCATTAGCATTAACCGTGTATCTCGACTTTAAGTTGCCCCAAAATACAGTTACAATCCCCGTTCGTCGTTCGGTAAATTTCAGAGTCATTTACTCGTTTGAAATTTTGAGTTGATGGGGATTCGAACTGCGGTCTGCGTTTCAACAGTTCATGGGTGTGTACCAACTGAGCTACGCGCGCGTTGGTACGCAACTTCTGATTCCATTTCTTGGGGTGTGTCTGGTTTTCAGAAAATACGGGAACTCATTGCTGTCTTGGACCAGAGGAAAGATGAATCCATCGAGAGGACATTCAAGGGTGTTGCAAAGAATTTCCGGGAGGCGTTTGCGGAGCTTGTGCAAGGTGGTCATGGGCAGCTTGTGATGATCAAGAAACGCAAGGTGAGTACAGCATCGCTCTCCCTCTCTCTTCTCCACCCTTTCTTCCTTTTTAGTAAACAAGTGGACCTGCTGCAGCCACGCTGCGGCGAAGGACGATGACAAAAACATTTTGCGAAACAGCCCGAAGATCGGTTGGACCCCATCTTTGCAATGTACCCCTATCGGACACCGTCCAACTTTGCAAAATGCCCCGGTAGTTGCCAACTTTTCGTAGGTGCAATTGCAAAAGGCCAAGGCCCAAACGGGGAGGCTGACATTGCGAATTTGCACACGTGGCTGACAGGGGCATAACACAAAGATGTCAGCCCAAAAGGCCTTTCCACTGTACCGAGATCTTTCAGGGACATTTTGAAATACATCTTAACTTATGGGGGTATTTGGCAAATTACCACCGCCCCAAAAAAGGCCGATGGCATCTTTTCAACATTTGGAGGAAGATATGCCAGTCTTCTCTCTC